GGTGGCCAGCGGTTAAGTGGGAAGGGGATGGGGGTTTTCGAACAATGGAGAAAGTGAGGATGGGGGAATTCGGCCTAGGGTTTAGGTGTGGGAATTTCGGCCAATGGAGGAAGAGGAGGATGGGGTGGCGGCTTGGAGAGGAAGGGGAAGTTGGTGGAGAAGGTGGACCATGAGCCTGGACGTTTCATGCAGCTGATAGGTAATATGTTACCGGTTACCCTCACCTAAGGACTTCAACTCTCACAAGAACTTTCGAGCTCTCACAAAACACAAAGTGCAAAAATTTTTATAATAATCATCATCCCCCAAAGAGGGGGCTATAATAGCCAAAATACAATAACAAATCTAAATATGAAAGTGTCCCCTGGGGTCACATGATCCTACTCCCTCAAGTGAAGGTAAAAATGAAAAAATGCATAAATAAATCAACTACAAATAAGAACTCAAAAATAAAGTAGTTCAATCATGGTCGTAGATCTTCGGCCCCTTCTCTGATAAACTTTCCACGGTCGGATGTCCTCATCAGAGGTTGTAGTTGGTGGAAGTGGGGTTGTTTTGCTAGAGGAAGAGTGTTTGTTGTTGTGAGTGAGTAGAGAAGTAAGATGTGGAAGGTTAGGGCTGCAAACGAACCGAGCCGAGCCGAGTATGTGAGTGTTCATGTTTGTGTTTGTTTAACATTAGCTTGTTCATGTTTGATTCGTGTTTGATTCGAGCTTTATTATTTGTGTTCATGTTTGGTTCATTTAATTTAAGGGTGTTCATGTTTGGTTCATGTTTGGTTCATGTTCGTTTGTTTAGTGCTTATCGAGCTTTAAACAAGCTATGTTCGTGAACATATTTCGCAAACAATCTGTTGAACAAGCAAACCTTAAATTTGTTCATGAACATCCTAAACAGACAATCTAACAAACATGGAAAAATATGAAATATTTCTTGTTATTAATAAAAAATAATTATATTATTATGTTATAATTAAAGTTTTTATATTATGTATATTTATCAAATTTATAATAACATATTATTTAAGTTTTCATCGAGCGATTTTAATCGAACCCGAATCAAGCTTTTTATCGAGCTTGTTCATGAACATCAACTGATGTTGTTCGCGAACATAAACGAGCTGAACGCATTAGTGTTCAAGCTTGTTTATTTAAGAATCGAGTATTTAAAATATTGTTCAAGTTTGTTTGTTAGTTAATTAAACGATCACGAACGAGCTTTAATCGAACCGAACAACGAGTAGTTCGTCGAACGTTTGGTTCGCTTGCAGCCCTATGGAAGGTTATATGTTCAGTTATTGGAGAAAGGAAGAAGGAGGTTATTAGAGTAAGTTGTAGAAAGTTGTATGTTAAGTTATATTATTATACAAATTAATAGAATTGAATATATAATTAAAGCTTTAAAAATTGTTGTGGATGCTAAGATATTAATATTATAAGCGCTTATAATCCTCAAGAAAGTTTGGATATGTGTTCAAAATTAAAATTTTGGAATGACATATAATAATTAATACAAATGATACCTCTTGAAGAAAACATTTTTATTAGAGGAGATTTAAATAGACACGTTGTAGAGAGGTAGATGATTTTAAAACCATTTATGGTGGTTATTGCTTTGGAGCGACTAATGAAGATGGTAAGTTTTCTTTAGCTTATGATTTTGTAATTGTTAATACACTGTTTAAGAAAAGAGATGAGCATCTCATTACTTATAAGAATGGATATAGTAAACTCAGATTGATTATTTTTCTTATGAGAAAAATAGATCGTTTAGATTGCAAAAACTATAAAGTTATTCCGAGTGTATGTACTCAAAATAACTTATTAGTCTTGGACTTTAAGATGAAGGGGAAAAAATATAGTAAATCATTATTCTAGAATTAGATGGGGCATTCAAAAAATATTAACAAAAATACTTTTGAGGGAAAGATTCTAAATCTTAAAATTTTATCTATGCATGAAGAAGCTAATGTTATGTGGAAAAAATTAGCTTGTGATAATGTGAATGCTGCAAAAAATATGCTTGGAATATCAAAGGGAAAAGCTCATAATAGAAAAAATAATAATTTGTGGTGGAATCAAAATGTGAAAGAAAAAATAAAAAATAAGAAGATTTATTATAAAAATTAATTTAGTTGTAAAAACTCTGATAATAAAGAGACACTTAATGAGTCTAAGAAAGCAAATTTCAATGCAAAGATTTTAACTTCTAATGATTTATATGATAGATTAGATAATAAGTAGGGCGAAAGATATAGGTATAAGTTTGCTAAACAAAGAGATGGGAGTAGTAAGGATTTAGTTCAAGTGAAGTGTATTAAAGATGGAGATAAAAAAGTGCTTTACTAGAAAAGGATATTCAACAAAGATGAATGAGATATTTTACTAAACTTTTTAATGAAGATAATAAGAATGCAATTGACTTTAGTGACCTTAGCACCCTAAATGAAAATAAAGATTTTTTTTTTATGCCTTAGTAAAACCGAATTTAAAGAGACTTTAAAGAAAATGAAGTGTGAAAAAGCAGTTGGACCAAATGATATTCCAATAGATGTGTGAAAATGTTTAGGAGATGAAGGAATTTCTTTGCTTACTAAACCTTTTAATATTATTTCAAAGACTAAAAAAATGTCAAATGAGTGGAGAATGAGTGTGTTGATTCCTATTTTTAAAATAAAGGTGATGCACAAGATTGTGTGAATTATAGAGGAATTAAGTTAATGTGTCATACTTTAAAAATATGGGAGAGAGTTATGGAGCATAAGTTGCAGTGCAACACTAATGTTCTCAAAATTAATTTGCATTCATGACAGGTAGGTCTTCTATAGAAGCTATACATTTATTGAGAGGTTTGATGCAGAAGTATAGAGAAAATAAGGAGGATCTATATATGATTTTTATTGATTTTGAGAAACCATAAGATAAAGTTCCAAGAGAAGTGATATAGAGAGTTCTACATAAGAAAGGGCTTAATAATGTTTATATTCTAAGTCATTAAAGATATGTATGCATGATTTGTTACTTCTGTTCAAACACAAGGTGGTTTGACCAAGTATTTTCCTATTTCAATTAGGATCAACCTTAAGCCTATATCTTTTTACTTTAGCCTTGGATGTTCTCCCTAAATAGTTGCAAGAGGTTGTACCTTGGGATATGTTTTTTGCTGATGATATTCTTCTTGTTGATAAGACTAGAAATGGAGTTGAAGGTACACTTGAATTATGGAGGTCAACCTTAGAGTCTAAAGGCTTTCGTTTGAGTAGATCTAAAATTGAATATATGGAGCATAATTTTAGTAATAATATATCTAGTGGGGGATTGTGACTTTGGATTTGGACGATCATGTCATTAATAAGAGCACATATTTTAGATATACTGGGTCTATTGTTCAAATGATGGTGAAATACATGGGGATATTATTAGTAGAATTCGAATTGGATGGTTGAAGTGGAGGAATGCATTGGGCTTGTTATCTGATAGAAAAAGTCCCTCTCAAACTTAAGAGAAAATTCTATAAGATGGTAGTGAGACCTGCAATGCTTTATGGTGCAAAATGTTGTTCATTAAAAGAGAAGCATAATATTAACTTAAATGTTGTATAGATGAGGATGCACAAGTGGATGAGTGGCTTTACTCTTAAAGACAATACATGAAATGAGCATATAAGTGAAAAGGTAAGAGTAGCTCCAATGGAAGTTAAGATAGAGAGAATCTCCTTAGATTGTTTGGTCACATAAAACAAGGGCCTTCCAATGACCCAGTTAAGAAAGTAGATGTATTAGATTTGACATATGTTAAGAAAGGTATAGGTAGACCTACAAAGACTTTGTTAGAAAATATTAGAAATGACCTTTCATTATTATATTTAGATGAGAATTTGACCCTTAGCATGACAAAATGGAGAAAAAGGATTAATGTAGCCGACCTCACATCTAGGGATAAAGGCTTGTTGTTGTTGTTTCTTATTTGTATTGTGATTCTTCAAATAAATGTAGTTTAGGCAACAAGTATGAAACATCCATGTGTAAGAAGCTAAAAATAGCAAGAAATTGTACACTCATAGCACAATGAGACTAAGAAAGAGTCTTTTTTTTTTCATAAAACACATACAAGCAATACACTTTTTTAAGTGCACATGTGACAAAAAAATATTACAAATTATTTATACTATTGACAACAATCATGGGTGCTACTATGCAAAGATCCAAAGTTTGTTTGATTGTATTTTAGTTATTCATTTTGTTCTTGATAGATTTCTTAGATGCTTGTGCCTTCATCTTACAACTGATTGCTTTATATTGGAATCCTCCATTCTCAATCAAATTGTAGTGCTTTGATGTTTAATAGTACCAACTTCATTATTTGGATTGGTTTTTGCACTAATTGATTATTATGACAATAATTTTGGGGAATTTAGAATGGAACCACTAGATAATCAACCTGCATCTTCATAATTGTTTTTTTTTTGGTCACACGCTTGAATTGATTGAGTTATTATTATGTCAATTATATTATATTTAAATAAATTTGGTATTTATCACTTCATCCGATTCAAATCCAAATGAACGATCAAACTGTTAACCTCTCCTTCATCCGGTTCTTTGTCTGGTCCGATTTTCACAACCTTGGATACAACTTTATCAAAAAACATGTGATAGAATTGAGGTACAAAATTGATCTTGATGGATAAGAAAATTTGCATACAGATTGCAACTAAAATGATAGCAATGCAAATTTAGAAGGATATCCTCAGAGAATTACATCAGCCAACAGCAAAAAATGTATTAAAAAGAAAAGTATGTTTATCTTAGATTCGTAAGGTCAAAATGTCAAAAAAGCTCAACTTCTCCCAGATTCGAGAAAACAAGACATATATTGGTTAATATATCCATGAAAACATACAAATTACTATATTACCTCGAACACAATTAATAGCATTACTTTTGATAAGAAAGGAAAGAACAAATAAGAAAGCTATTTCAAATAACTGTGCAACTATACCTTTCAAATCTGGATTCCTCTCCACTTTTGTCTTATTCAGTCTGTTGACAATCTCATTTACACGTTTCTCAACTCTCACGGTACGGACCTTAAAAAGCTGGTAGCATTAGCTTATAACAATATCTAAAATAGCATACATACATAGTAAACAGAAGAAGTGTAATATATACATTAAAACCGCAAATAACAACAGCAAGAGACTGGTAATGACACTAAAGTTTGCGAAAAACTTTAGAAGCAAAAATGAGTTACCAAAACCAAGACAGAGGCTCTGAGACCCAACTAGCCAAATTAGCCTATCAAATAATGAAAAGAAAATTGAATGCAGAGAATATAGATATCTGCAGAGCTCGGATCAAACAGGGAAACCCTGCTAGAAATGGAACCCAGATTGTTGCTGTTTGGACCACACGCACAAAAATAGGAGGGGGTTTGTAGATGCATCCTCACGACTAGCAGATCTATTTATCATTTTATAGGTGCTTCTGCATTATTAGTGCGAACAATGTGTGCACTATCCAAACCGGTGTTCCCTTGAACACATATTATAGCCACAGTGATAATAGCAGGATGCTCTAAGATCAGTTAAGCAAACTAGAGTTCACTTGAAACGAATTATTGTTACAGAGACAAATTAAAATAGAAAACAATAGACGTTAATAAACCTACATAGCATGAAATGTTCAACTTATTACTCCAGATTTAGAAGTGATTGGTTTTAATATAAATACGGTCAACCAAATTAATCAAGAACCACTATCTGTTAAAAAACTCTTCCTTTTGAACATCATTTCCTTGCTTTAAACAAATTTCATGCATAAGAACATTCATTGTTTAATATACAAGATGAAAAAGTTAACAGGCAGAATTGAATCCAAACTTTTTATATTTTAAAATTAAAATAAGGCCAGGTGCACGCAATTGTAGCCATAAAAAAATCAACTCTAAAAAAAATGAATGGAAAGAGTTTCTTTCGAAGAAATAAAAGTTGAACTAACCAGAATGTGCCCAAACTAATAAAGCAAAGTAACAGGACAGATCAGTCATCAACGAGATAATAATTCTAGTGATATTAATTATTGAAGCATCCCCATGCAAATTCAAGTAGATCACTCGTCCATGATAATTATTATCTATTTGAATGGCCAGCTTTAAAACATAAGCATCATAAGCATGAACAAGAAATAAAGAGAAACTGTATAATTGGAATATCCCATCAACATTCACATATATTATTAGCATCATCACCATCATATTAACACAATTAGATGAGATCAGCTTTATGAATGAATTTCAGAAGCAAATATAAAGATGCCCATGTTTCAAAGAAGCTGCAACAACCATAGATATAAGTGGATGACGCTATAAAAAGCTCAGACTTTACCAAACTGATAAAAGTAGTGCTCACCATTTTAGAATTGTGAAACCCAACCTGCCCAACATCCATTGAAGGAGTCTTCTTCAAATTATACCATGGAGTATAGACAACATCTACATTATTCACCTTATTTCCTACAAATCATAAACAGTAATAAAACTACTAATGAGCGTAATGAAAAAAATAATGAAGTCCCGCCAAAAAGGAAAAAAATAGAGAGGAAAAAAGATTACCAAAATTAGGTCCAAGCATGAAAAAATTTTAATGAGTATTTATATGATTTGGATTACATTAATAAACCAAAGCTATGGCATGAATAGTGAAGGGAAAAAAAAGGTAGAGCACAAGAATTGTCTCTCATTCCCAAAACAGTGAATATGAAGTCCATAAGAAGAGCAGGGAAAATTATAAAAATAAAAAAGAAAGACAGACATTTAAGACGCTAAAACAAAGGGAAAAAATACTCCTGAATCCAGAGATGCATGAAAATAAAGGTAAATAATCAAAAACAGAAGAAAGAGTGAAAAAGAAAGTTGGAGAAGAAATATAGGAATTCATATACATTTATTCATAATTTCGGAGTAGACCAAATTCCCTTGCAGATTTAACATATATTCTTGATTTTCTATTATCCCCATCAAGCTGGGTGGTAAATATTTAACATTATCTGCTGGAAATTTAAATTTTCAAACTTAATTTGGTGAGGACTTTGTTTAGGATATCAATACTTGGAAGATAAGTTGGAGTTTATAGGATAGAAACAATCATATCACGAATCTTTCCCTCAATAAAATGCTGGTTGTCACCCTCAACATGTACGGTCTGATCATGGAGAAATGTGAATAAGGTTTTTTGCAATAATTACTTCAACTTGAATTTCACATAGTCATTTTATTGGTTCTTCTATAGAGTCCATAATTCATTAAGAAGTCTTCTTAATCACATTTCTTCACAAATGTCATGAGTCCATGAGTCATTACTCTAAATTCTGCTTCAGCACAATTCTAGCAAAATATGTTGCTTTTTTACTTCTTCACAAGTCTTTTTTTTTTTTTTAAGTTTCTCTAACTTAGGTTTTACTATTACGTCAAAAAAAACAAAAATCTTTATTTTCATTTATGGTGCTAAGGTAACTAAAGTCAATCGTATTCTCATAATTTTCATTGAAAAATTATATAAAAATATCTCATCCACCTTTGTTGAATATCTTCTTTTAATAAAAGAACTTTTTGATCTCCATCACTTGAACTAAATCCTTACTACTCATTGTTTGGCTAACTTATAAATATATATATCGCCCTCTTTAGTAGCTAATCTATTATATAAATCATTAAAAGCTAAAATCTTTGCATTCCTTAGATGCCAGATGAGTGGAGAATGAGTGTGTTAATCCATAGTTTTAAGAATAAAGGTGATGCACAAGATTGTGCGAATTATAGAGGTATTAAGTTAATGTGTCATACTTTAAAAATATGGGAGCGAGTTATGGAGCAGAGGTTGCGGCGTAATACTAATGTTTCTCAAAATCAATTTGGATTCATGCCGGGTAGGTCGACTATGGAAGCCATACATTTATTAAGAGGTTTGATGGAGAAATATAGAGAAAATAAGGAAGATCTACATATGATATTTATTGATTTAGAAAAAACATATGATAAAGTTCCAAGAGAAGTGCTATGGAGAGTTCTTGAAAAGAAAGGAGTCAATAATGCTTATATTCAAATCATTAAAGATATGTATGCAGGAGTTATTACTTGTGTTCAAACACAGGTGGATTGACCAAGTATTTCTCTATTTTGGTTGGGTTACATCAAGGATCAGCCTTAAGCCCTTATCTTTTTGCTTTAGTTATGGATGGTCTCACTAGACATTTGCAAGAGGATGTACCTTGGTGTATGCTTTTTGCTGATGATATTCTTCTTGTTGATAAGACTAGAGAGGGAGTTGAAGGTAAACTTGAATTATAGAGGTCAACCTTAGAGTCTAAAGGTTTTCGCTTGAGTAGATCTAAAACATAATATATGGAGTGTAATTTTAGTAGTAATAGACCTAGTGAGGGGATTGTGACTTTGGGCGATCAAATCATTAATAAGAGTACACATTTTAGATATCTTGGATCTATTATTCAGAGTGATGGTGAAATAGATGGGGATATTATCAGCAGAATTCAAGTTGGATGGTTGAAGTGGAGGAATGCATCGGGCTTGTTATGTGATAGAAATGTACCCCTCAAACTTAAGGAAAAATTCTATAAGATGGTAGTGAGGCCTGCAATGCTTTATGGTGCCGAATGTTGGCCATTAAAAGAGAAGCATAATACTAAGTTAAGTGTGGCAGAGATGAGGATGCTCAGGTGGATGAGTGGCTTTACCCTTAGAGATAAGATACGAAATGAGCATATACGTGAAAAGGTTGGAGTAGCTGCAATAGAAGATAAGATTAGAGAGAGTCGCCTTAGATGGTTTGGTCACATAAAACGGCGGCCTTCCGATGACCCGGTTAGGAGAGTAGAGGTATTAGATTTGACTTATGTTAAGAAAGGTAGGGGTAGACCTAAAAAGAATTGGTTAGAAAATATTAGGAATGACCTTTCTTTATTAGATTTAAACGAGAGTTTGACTTCTAATAGGACACAATGGAGAAAAAGGATTCATGTAGCCGACCCCACAGTAGTGGGATAAAGGCTTGATGTTGTTGTTGTAAACTCCTTACGAGCTCTTTATATCTTTCCCAATTATCAGAATTTTAACATTTAAATCAAATTTGATAACAAAGCTTCTAATTTTTTATCTTTTCTTAAACATTTTGATTCCAATACAAACTATTTTTATTATTATGAGCTTTTCATTTTAATAATCCAAGCAGATCTTTTGCAACATTTCTTAATATCACTAGCTACTTTTTCCCAAATAACATTAGCTTCCTCATGCACAGACAAAATCTTAAGATCTAGTATTTTACTCTCAAAAATATTTTTATTGATATTCTTTAAATGCCCCCATCTAATCCTAAAATAATATTTTACTTTATTTTGCTTCATCCCATACCCAAAAATTAGGATCTTCTTCTTTTGTCCTACCCCAAGGAGGTGATGCATCTTTTCTTTTCCTTTAAAATAGGTCTTCACAAATTGAGACCATTTCAAATAATTTTTCTCAATAAAGCTACATAAAGGTTGCATATTTTGGAGATCTCTTCCTTGGTGCAACATAAAGTCCTCCATTCGGTCAAAGCTTTGGAAGGAATTTGCTTCAAACATTGCGGCGACAGAGCAGCGATGAAGGCTATATCAAGCAAGGCAACAATAAAGGCTGCGCTGGTTATAGATAAGATAACAACAAAAAGAGAAGGTCGGTAATAAATGCACAATAATACAAAAAAATTCATAATATCGACAAAGGCAATGAAGGCTCTAATACCATGTTAAATTTAGAGAGTGGAAGAGGGAAATGGCTAAATTTTATTACATAAACTTATCCCTATTTATAGATCTATACACGATATTTTAATAAAAACAAATAATTCTAATATAATCCTTCATAAATCAGCCATATAAATATAGAAGGATATCAGCGTGATCCAGGTGAGCCTTCCATGGATTTCCATCTTAGTCGTGGGATAAAAATGCCAAGGGATGGCTAGGATTTAATAGGTGAGCCTCCCACGGATTCCCATCCAAGCCATAGGATCAAAATGCCAAGGGACGACTAGGATTTAATATTTACGAAAACCTTTCTCACATAGTTTTGAATGAGAATAATTTAAACTGCTCAAAAGCTTGCTTGACCACCACCGATAGCCACCATCTCCACCGCCATCCTATTGTCGACCTCCACCGTCGACCACCGCCGTCGGCCACCACCACCACCCTCAATTGCCCGCAACTGCCAAAGGCCGACTACCCCGCCTACCACCGTCGGCCAACACCACAACGGCGCTCCAACGCTAGATGTTGCCACCGCTAACCACCCCGGGCACAACCTTTTTACACCATACCTTGCATTCATTTTACTTCAAAGTTCAAACCAAACAAAAAAATTTAAAGTCATGCATTACTTTTACAATCATCCAAACAACTCCAAAGTATTCTTTTTACACCACATTCCTTTATATTGCATCCTTTTACACTGCATTCCTTTTCCAGGCAACCAAACAACCCCTTAGTGGCATTCAAGACCATGCAACAACAACAACAAGCCTTTATCCCACTATGTGGGGTCGGCTACATGAATCATTTTTTCTCTATTGTGTCCTATTAATGGTCAAATTCTCATCTAAATCTAATAAAGAAATGTCATTTTTAATATTTTTGAACCAAGCCTTTTTAGGTATACCTCTATCTTTCTTAACATAAATCTAATCTAATGCATCTACTTTCCTAATCGGGTTATCAGAAGTCCACCATTTTATGTAACCAAACCATCTAAGGCGACTCTCTCTAATCTAATCTTCCACTAGAGCAACTCCAACATGTTCACGTATATGTCATGTTGTATTATGTCTTTAAGAGCAAAGCCACTCATCCACCTAAGCATCCTCATCTCTGCAACACTTAACTTAATATAATGCTTCTCTTTTAATGGCCAACATTCTGCACCATAAAACATTGCAGGTTTCACTACCATCTTATAGAATTTTCTCTTCAATTTGAGAGGGACCTTTCTATCACATAACAAGCCTGATGCATTCCTCCACTTCAACCATCCAACTTGAATTATACTAATAATATTCCCATCTATTTCACCATCACTCTAAACAATAGACCCAAGATATCTAAAACGTGTGTTCCTATTAATAACTTGATCGCCCAAAGTCAGTCACAATCCCCTCACTAGATCTATTATTACTAAAATTAGTTTATTTGTTAACTACAGTGACAGTGCTAAATTGATCCATTAATAAATACCATTTCACCAATTAGGGGCTTATTATAAATGATACCTAATAATCAATTCATGTTGCTTGCTTGCTATTTCTATGCACGATATCCATCCCAATTATTGCTTTCTACTAATCTCCAAATTATGCATAACTTTAAGTTCTCCCTCCTTGGCCACTGAGGTACAAGTACAATAAAGGCCCATAATATGTATGGAATCCTTCTTATGTGCCATTACCTAAAGCTAGTTTCAGCTATATATTTATCAGTCATAAACTCAACCCACTGTATTTCCATTCATCATAAACCTGCTTTCATGCAATTCAATTTCAGTATATCTATCTAAAATGTATATGACAATTCTTTCGTCTAAACAAGTCAACCAATATAACCAATCAAAACATAAACCACCTCTCTACTCTTCTCCACCTTCTTACAATTGTTGATGGTACCTCTCTTGGCCTCAAGACCTTAAAAAAAGATAGCAAGTACTCTCAAGGATTAAAAAACATCATCATAATTAACCTTATCCAATCTTTTTGGGCTAGTACTATCCCAACTATTTAGGGCTGGCCCACATTCCTCAATTGTCCTTTCTTAATGCTACATGTGTTAAATAACATACTCTTCACTAACATTTTATAAAAAATTTATTAAAATTACCTTCGGACTACATATTTTTCTTCCTAATCATTAGCATTTATTTTATTTGCTCATCTTATTGGTGCATCTACTACATTAATTATACATGATCAAATCACCTAAATCTATTTTTCACAACCATTTCAACTAATGTAGAGATCATTCCCCCCATTAATACGATCAATTTATAATATAACCTTCCTAATTTTGCAACACATCCATCCTAAAATTCTCATTTATGTCACACTCGAATTTATCTATGAATGGCTTCTCTATCAACGGCATTCATATCCATACATTGTTGCTCTAATCGCAATATTCTAAAATTTAGATTAAAACTATCACGATCTCTTATTAGACAATAGGCATTTCTCCATTTCAATGACCAAGCTCTTATTTTAGAAGTTAACTCCTTATCTATTTCATCATTCTTCAATATAAAGATCCAAGTTACTTCAACACATCACAAATGAGCATGAACCTTATTTTCTGATCATATTAGCTAATAATTTCTAATATCACATCTATTAAAATTACATATCACATATATAAACTTTATTCAACTAATTCTGAGCCCTTTAACTTCTAAACATTCACGCTATTATTCTAATTTTTCACTTATTTTGACTAATACCTCATTGACTAGATTTATCATTTACCCCAATAAAACATGCAACTTACTTCAAATATCTTTTATAAGCATCTCTATGACTAAAGCAAAAGCATACGAACATAGCTTGTCCTTAATGTGATCCAAACATGATTGGGAACTTTGTGGTTACTCTACAACTACTTTTAATACTATTCAATACTCTACCAAACTATTTTAATAACTTCAATATACTTTTGACGCACTTTCTTTAATGTATGCCAAATCAATTTTCACATACCCAATGAAAATCCTTTCTTTGCTCTCTATAGGAATTTCACTAATTATTTTAGCACAAAAATAATGTCCATAGTGGATCTTTCAAGCATAAAACCAAATTTATACTATGCATCAACGTAACTATGAAGTCCATGTTCCATAAAGCTCTGCCTAAACTTTTCTCTCTCATAAACTCATCTCTTCTATAATTGCAATAATCTTAAAAATCTACTTTGCTCTTGAGTAACATATTAAAATACTTCCTCTACAATCATTTGGTATCATCTTAGCCTTCAAAATCCATTGAGAATATTGATTTATCAAACTAAATGATTTCATCCATAAGCCCACAATCAACAGTCATTTTAGCAAGATCCAATGTTTTATTGTCATGCAACTTCTTCAAAGCTAACTTAATATTTTTAGGCCAATCTAAAATATGTCGCATTATTCTATTCATTATACTTCCAAATAAAATTGATGCCTATGCTCAAGTTGGATTAGAAGATAGTTTGGCAAACTAATTTTTGAAGGAAATAGATTTAAATTCCGTGGGCCCATATTTATGATGGGCAATCAGCAACTGTATTCATTCAATAATTGAAGTAGCTATTGCGTTAGGAAACAAATTACTACGATTTAATGACAATAATTTCACATTCTAAAAACCTAAACTATACCAAGAAAAAAGTGTGAAGGTTCCATGAGCAAGATTTGAAATTGAATTAGCAAACAAGTCTTATTTTTATTGAAGTCGTTGATTAAAGATCATCAATACCTCAGGAAATTATAAATCATTTTCCCCAAGTGTTACCTTGAATGGAATTGGCTTTGACAAGCTGAGCACAGTCTTCTAGTAAACCTTCACTAATATCATCAATTGTTTGATTTTTGTTCAACCTTAAGTAAACATGAGCTGATGACATCTTATCAACATGAAACCTGTAAAATTGATGCTGGCGTTTTAGGAACATGAAATAAATTTCAAATAAAATGCATCAAAAAGTATAGAAAAAACAGTTGAGCATAAAAAAGGCTTAATATAATGATGGAAATCTATACAAAATAAATTTTCCAAAAAGAAAACATTAAAGATCAAAAAAATATTCAAAAATAACTGCTGATGTATAAAGGCTTGAGAATACTTTAAACCAACACTAGATAATAGTCAATCAGTATGACAGATAACTTGGCCATCGAAAAAAGTAAAAGCAAAAAGATGCAGGAGATGCAAAAAAGAGTTGCATATAACCAGTTAAGTTCCATAACAGCTCAAGTGGTCAAGAGTGATAGCCATTCAAACTCCAAAGCATTAGACACTATAAAGGCACATGGTCATAGATTTTCAACTTTTCAGAGAAGATGACTGCACTAAAGTTGATATTTTATCTTCATCATCTAATATATCCAAAGATAAAATGATTTTATGAGTCCTTCAACAAGCAATAACACTAATGTCTACATTTGGTGTTATTCCAACTTATTAAAATCCCACACAAGATAGTCTAGTTTATTAGCTTGAGCATGGTATCTTCCTCATCATAGTCATTTCACAATAAACTACATGAGTGGCTCTTTCTGCGCATAATGAAGATTGCCAAATCAGGACTTAGATGCAATGACTACATGATGTAATCAGTTTTTGATTATGGAATCACAGGTATTTGAGATGTAGCACAATATTTCACATTTAAAAATTAAAAAAAAAAAGTTCCCAAAACTAAAGACAGAAAATCAGTTAATTTTGATAATATCAATTCATTATCATACAAAGAACTAGACCAAGTTAAACCCAATGCTGTTGAAATAGGATCCTAATCAAACTACTCAAAAATAAGGAAATTTGGATAGAAACAGGGTAAAACCTGCCAACATACTGTAAGCAACAAATGTTTTCAGTGGACTATAACCATAGGCTAAAACAGCGCATCAAAGGAAGGCATCAAACCTTTGAGTCACATGAAATATCTCTAATGATCTATTTGGTCTCTATCTCTCCCACTGGATTATCTGAACACCAACTCAAACTGAGAGAATATAAGAGAAACATCTGAAATCAACCTTTCAAAAAAAAATTTGAAAACACAGATCCTACGGTTCCCTTGGACTTCAGGAATGTCTACACACACGCCCTTACATTTCACCTATATCCAAAAACTGTACACACGCCCTTACATTTCACCTATATCCAAAAACTGTCAAAAGACACGCAGGACGGAAGGAAAATATATGAAAATTGAAGGAAAAAATAAATCTTCATAAAAACCATATACCCTTGTAAGTTGAGTTAGTGAAACTAATTCCTAGACCCATTTGGCCTACTGACTTGAATTTTGAAAGATTCAAAGAAACCAATTAAAAATTGACTTATGGACAGCACCTTGAGCAATCTAAACTTCCTCCAAAAAAGCCCAGATCAAGAAAATTCAAACCCAAATCCGAAAACCAAATCAAACCTAAATTATATTTCAAAATTAAATCCATGTGACAGCATGTTGCCACTAGTGTATCATACCTTATTCTACATGGTCTCAAGCAAATAGTTCTTCAATCAACAGTTCAACATGGCAACGGTATCATGCGGAGAGGAATCAAAGCACACCAATTTCTCAGCATTCATGCAAGTACCCATTCGACGATGAAAACAGTTTTTACAGCATCAGCAATCAATAATAGCATAAGAAAATGCAAGATATTACCATATGTCCTCGGCAAATCCGTACTTGATCAGCTCCTCGTTCTCGTGTTTGTCCAGCCCCATGTAGATCGTGTAGTCCCCAACCTCTGGCCGGGCCTTGAAGTATAAAACCATCTCTTTCCTGCTTCAAGCAACAGCGTGGATCAGGTCTTACAACTACAACGCTTTAACTTCTTTTTTCAAGCTTGGTCAGAGAACTTCAGGAGAAACCTGAAGTTTGTGAGGGGAAAGGAAGGATGAGATCGTGAGCTCGCGATCGAAGCAGTTACAAAAGTAGGAGTTCGGTAAGCGAATCGATTAGGGTTCCTCTTAGGGGCTGTTTGGTAACGGATTTACAGCGGGATTTAAGTCGGATTTACGCTAAATCCACCCAAACGGTTTTTTGAGGTCGCCTAAATCCGATGCCTGCGTAAATCCGATGCCTGCGTAAATCCGAATTTACGGATTTACGGCGTAAATCCGCCTAAATTCAAATCCCGTCGTTCGGCGGATTTAACAGGATTTGGCCGGAAGAAGCGCGCGAAAGAGAGAAATATGGCTACCTTGGCAACGAGCAAGAGCAAGCTCCCCTAGTCGTCACGAGATGTGGTTTCAGATCCGATTTGAAGGGACGTCGTCGAAGGAGCGAAGTCGAACAGCAACGAAGGAGCCGAAGAAGTGATTCGTCGGAGAGGACAAGGAATAGAAAATCATCGCATGGACATAGAAGTTCCGATTAAGGCCCCAAACGAAAGAGAAATTTCAAATTTCTGTGTTGGAGATAATAATGCGATGGGAATGACCCAGCTGAGATTGAGGTTTTTTTTTTTTTTTTAATGAAGATGCAAATTGTATTAATAGCTAATAAAATAAACTATTACAGGAAACTCAAGAAAATATAAATCTATCACGGTCCTCCCTAATCAAGTCAATAAATTTTGATGGGAGTTCCATACCTAAAAAAGTGTCCCCAAAAAATCACCTAAGGAAGCTAGGTGAGTGCAATAATCTGCAACTTTATTACATTCTCTAGGGATATAATTAAAAACAATGTTATTAAAAACTTCCATGAAAGCAAGATTCGTCCGATGAGGATTCTTATTCTCTGTCTTCAATTCTGCAACTTTACAGTCCTCCCTAATCAAGTCAATAAATTTTGATGGGAGTTCCATACCTAAAAAAGTGTCCCAAAAAAATCACCTAATGAAGCTAGGTGAGTGCAATAATCTGCAACTTTATTATATTCTCTAGGGACATAATTAAAAACAATGTTATTAAAAACTTCCAGGAAAGCAAGATTCGTCCGATGAGGATTCTTATTCTATATCTTCAATTCTGTAATTCTTTGGAGCTTATTCATAATATTCACATTATCTCATTCTATGATTATTCCTCTATTCTCACTCATCCAATCATTTAAAATTTTTTTGAATAGAAGTATAGCTTTTAGTTCAAGATAAGCCACATCCCAATGAATGAGTTTTTTTCCCAAAAGCACACATCATCCTTCCTTTATGATCCCTTAGTACTCCTGCCAATCCAGCCAAATTTAAAATTTGAACCGAAGCATCTACATTCAACTTGAGCCAACCTTTAGGTGGGGGACACCAAGCTTTAGACAGCATTTGTTGATTGGAATCACAGTTCTTTTCAGTTTGGATCAAGTGTGAGAAACAAAAAACTTGATAGAATTTCTGGTGCTGTAAATGATGCTGATTGTGCCTTCTTCCCATGTTTAACCATATTACGCACCTTCCAGTTATGGTAAACAGCTACTGCATAAATTTTAGATAATCCAGATTTTCGTGATACCTGTAATTCAGCAACGCATTAAGCTTTGTTTTGGAATATTGGAACATTGATTCCCCGCTTCCTTAAAGTAATCAATAATTCATGTAATTTAACACAGCCCGTTAAAATGTGCTCTATATATTCAGCCATTTGACAGCCTCAAGGACGATCAATCCTGCAATTCAGCTTCCTATGATTAAGCCATACGTTGGTTGGAAGTGCACATTCAACAATCTACACCAAAACAGATATACTCTTTGAGATATCTGCAGTTTCTTAATCCACTTTACATTATTCAAATCTCCTTCCTGATTTCTGTGTTTTGCTTCATATGACAGTAAACAAATCGATATTCTTGTTTCAGTTCTCATTAATTCAATTCTATCTTCTCTTGATTCATTACCTACTAGTGTTTGAAGGACCCGCTGTCCCATTTCCTCAGAGAAATAATTTCCCACTTTTGCCTTATCCCATAATCATCAGTCGTTAATAAGAACAAAACATTTCTTCCACATAATTCATTTGCTTTAGATGTGAACGGCCAATTTTCCAAACTCCTGTCCAGTAACAAAGTATCCTTCAATATAGCAACGTTTTCTCCTGTTTGTATCTTCCACCTTATAATTGGTTTCATATAACTTTCACCTTCCTTGATGATGCGCCATGTTGTAGAAGAATTCCTCTTAATTCCCTCTTCCCAGATACAATTGCCATATCTTCTTCTTAAGATTCTGCTTAAAACCAAATCCTTCCTCTGTATGAAATTCTAGGCTAATCTTGCTCTCAGTGGGCCTTGTCTTTCTGTTGCTCCTTGAATACCAAACCCACTTGAATTGTTAGACAAGCACAACGTCCTCCATCCAATATAATGCATCCCCTACTTTCTGTTCTCTTTATGCCACAAAAAACTTCTACACAAGCAGTCAATTTTCATTAAAATGCTCCTTGGGATAAGCAAGTGAGTTGTTAAATAAGAAATTATTGAAGAGAATGCTATTTTTATTAGCATTAATCTCCCTGCCAATGAAATCCATCGAGAACCCCATGAGTTTAGTCTTTCCAAAGCTTTCTCTATGCAGTCGTTGTAATCAGTTGCCTTCATTCTTCTTAAAGCTTATTTTATTCCCAAATAATTGATCTCCTTGACTTCAGTTACTCCCATCAGTTTTTTAATTCTTCTCCTTGTTTTTCTTGGGACAGCTTTGCCAAATAGAACCAAGGATTTGTTAGAGTTGATTTTTTGTCTAGTCCAATTGCAATAATCATTAAAAATTTGCTTCAAAATGATAGTATTTTCTCTACTTGCCTTTGCAACAACTAGCACATCATCCACGTAGAGTAAATGTGTAATTTTTTCTACATTTGAAGCTAATTTAATACCCAACTGATTTTTCTTAGTTTGAAAAGCCTTAGACAATAATTCAGAGCATATCACAAATAGACTAGGGGATAACGGGCAACCCTGTCTAAAGTCATATCTTGCCTTTATCCAATTTGTATCTCTTCCATTTATTCTGATTACAAATTTGAAATTGCTCACATATTGTAAAATCAACTTCTTTATCTTCTCTGAAAAGCCAAGGATCTCCAAAATATGTTCAATGTCTCTCAGCACATTGAATCATAAACTTGTTCCATATCAAGCTTAAAAAGCATAAGATAATGATGAATAAGAATTTACTTGAGAAAATTAATAATTTCCTTCACAACTAACATACCCTAGAAGTGCATTTGGCATTGCCAATGCCATCTCAGCAGCATCATGCATCCCATGTACATGATCGAGTACGACATAATCACAAATTTGAGTCGACAGATCTTCATCCAAATTAATATCATTACGAATTTCCTCAACCTCCACATATATAGAATCAGAATTTCAGAAGTAGCCAATGATAATGCAAATTCACAACCTTCATCTTCCTTAACCTTCGGAGACCATGAATTGATTACCCACCAAAAAGCAGCCCACAATGGTCACCGTGAATTTTGAGGGATCAAACTTCAGCGCCCTAAGAACCCTATCCTTTAACGGCTTCAAGGTCGAGTTGAATGAAACTTGTAGCGACCGACATTTACCACCAATATATGTTGGCGAAAAATTATCATCTAAGGATATCTCTTCGTCATATAACAACATAAAAGATGGTGGCCGTGCACTCATTTTGAATACCTACATTTACAATAAATTTGAAATGATGTATTTATTTCATCGAAACAAGTGTCAAATTCATAACATTCCACGCTATTTTCTAATAGAATTTCAATTATTAATATTTCACTATGTTAATATTATCATTAACTTATTAAATATAAATGTTATAAATAGTAATATTAATGTTTCCTTATAATTCCATAAAAAGTTAACAAAAATGTCTACTATTTTCTCAATAAAACTTTTGGAATTATTTTTATTCATTTATATTTATTAACAATATTAGAAATTATATGAAATTCATTAAAAATAAAGAATAATTATTATTTAAAATAAAGAAAAATTAAATTATCGACATATGTTTTGACAAAATTAAGGAATAATTACATTAGAATTGTTGCGTCCAGGAGTATTCGCGGCGGTAGAGAAATATAAAATTAACGTCTTGGCATTGAACGAAAATCCGGCACTCAATCAGATAATAGAGAGTGTGTAGCATTCACATGAGACACCAATATTTTTACGTGGAAAACCCGCAAAAAACTAAATCAAAATCCAAAGGCTGTAAAACCTTCAAATATTTACAGCCTATGCCACTGGACATGTCACATAGAAGATTCTGACCTTAGAGCATTCACCAAAGCCTCTAGTCACTTCCAGAATATTAATCCAAACCTATTGAACATTAAACTATATTTTGGTTGAGCCATTTTGACCCCTAGTTGATCAGGGGTCAAAATGACCAAAATACCCCTATGGGGCCTAAATGGGTGTTTTGGCCTAATTGATTTCCTTGAACCTTCAAAACACATTCAACAATTTTAAAACTATATTTCAAACTTGTTGAGCCCAAAATTAGACCCTTGACCCAACCAATAGTTGACCAAGTCAACTAAGCCATGGTTGGTCAAATTTGACCCATATGAACCAATTCAATACATTCAATTAAATCAACCCATCCAAATCATATCAAATCAATCAAACTCTCAAACACATCTTCAAATATGTTTCAAGCCCATTCAAACTCAATTGGAGTTTTGATTTAATCAAACCCAAAATCATAGTCAAACTCCCATTCACATGCTCCTATACATTCAAACTTTAATTTATAAGCTTTAAGTCCATCGCACCAGCATTCAAGACTCTCCCATGTGCCACCTCAGCAGTCAACATGGTTGGTTGACCAGTCAACACATGGTCAACAAATTCTTAAGTAGCCAAATCTTTTTGTTTAGGCATCCAACCCATCTAATCCCTCTCCAGCTGTTTGGAGAGACTTTAGAAGCTTCTTAGAGTCATTCACAGCCTTTAGATCAGGATCTAATGGCTCACATTTAATTCCACATGGACAAGAGGACAAAATAGACTTTACACATAGGATGTCATTTCCATGTCCTTGGCTGCTGCTCCCACCAACTCCCTGGACAGATGGCACTCATCTAGAGGCTCATCCAGTAGATCCCAACCCTTCATTCAATCTGGAAGGGATTGAATAGGGCAAAAGGCTCAAGTAAGCCTCATTCTAACACCTACCCTATCTCTCCATACTCAGCCTCTCCAGAGGAGTTTATTGCTCCTTCAGGCTTTAAACAATCCCTATACATCCCCAAGGTCGGAATCCGACGTTTGGAGGCTGCCGCCAGCGAGCTTCCGGCCAAACTGAAGGCTAACCACGTCCAGGCTTTCTCCAGCTCGATCCGTAGCTCCTCTGACCGTGGTGTCTTCTACAAATAGGAGCGTGGACAGTCTACAAGTACAACAAATCCATAAACGGTTCAATCCGTCCAAAATTGAGGTGAAAAATTGAAACCTTAGAGCCAAGTACACTAGCTTAAATAAGT